ATATCTCTGTAATCATTCTCGCTAGACCCCAAGTGTGATGCATTGATGAAATCAGCTCACAAAGGAGAATGCGAAAATGCAATGAAATACAGGGTGCCCCATAAGAAGAATTATAACTTTGATACGTCACGCATTTCTGAGTCACCCTGTATAAAGCGAAATAATTTGTAAATGTGCTGCTCAGGATCCTAGTACATCTCTGGAATTTTTGTTCATCTATCTCAAACAGTAGAGCCGTTATCTCACTTTGCCACACTAATGACTCACCCTGTATGTTATTTCCGCAATTTTTTTTGAAGTGGCTATCTAGGAATTCATTTTTAAATTCAAGACTCCTAATCACGCGAAATGAAGTCTTTTACGACCAATTTTTATAGATGCTTCTCTCATATTTTTGAGACGTCCTATCACCTGAAGTGCTTCCCACATATTCAGAAAAATTCTTGAAAATAAATAGCTGGATTTTAAGAACTGTCATGAAACATTTTCATGATTGGTTTCCTTTTGACTTGACGAATTTTAGATCAAATTCACCAAAAATGTAATCTACAGTCCGTTCCCCCCCCCCCCCCCTATTAATTTTTGAACCACCTAGTATATCCCAACAAAATTCGAAGAGCTCAAAAAGGAAATGGAAAACTACTTTTTCATGAAAAAACGACAGCTTGAAGTTTTAATATGGCGGCTGAGCGCCATCTTGAATAAAATTTCCCATAATTCTCAACATTTTTATCTAATACACTAAACTCCTAACCAAATAAAATAGTTTTAGAAATATTTAAGTGTGCAAAGTGACATTTTGGTCATTTTCAACCCAACCAAAAACTCGAATGTTGGTTTCAATCAATTTTGCTTTGAAAAAAAATCGTTGTCGCGGTTACACCTCGGTTTTTTTCAAAACAAAATTGATTGAAAACATCAACGTTAATATTACGATAACTATTGAATTTAGAAATGAAGCGTAATAGATGAAACTGAGAAGATTTCGAAAATGGGATATTATAGGTGTTCCATTTAAAAAATTGATTGAGGATGGTTTTCATTTCCTATTTGGGGCACTGTATTTACAAGGACTTTCCGAATAAAACACTATAAAAGTATTTCAGTAAATATTATTATAGAAAGCAATGTTTTTTCAACAGATACCTTTGAGTACTCTTGATTTTGTTAATGCATGACGCATAATTATAAAAATAAAAAATAAATAGCTGGACCAATCACAATCATAAATCTCAGTTGGTTTTTTTGACCTGCACGGGTACCTTCACCCCCATAAGGGTGCACAGCTGATTCCGCAGCGGCCTTATCGTGTCCACGTTTTGTTCCCAATCGGTTTCGCTCAGAATATTCATGATTCCATCGAGATTATCAGGGGAGATGTTACTTTCGTCGCCTTTGACCAAAAGAGATTCGTAGAGTTTGTTGGAGGTCGTTCTTCTTATGTACGGTTGACGGTGGCATAAGAGGATGCTCAGCTGAGATAGAGCTTTATCACATACTTCTCCTTTTATCTAAAAAGGGCGATAATCAAGATCCCACTATGCAGGATTTGAAACAAGGAATGAAAATATTGAAAATATCGATTTTTCAACCGTCAGTTTCCACAGAACAGGAAGGTCATATTGAATTGGGCATGGTATATTTATTTATTCAAATTATGAAAATATTTTTGGCATACGGTAGTAGCAAGGTCTCACGTATACAAATTCAGTAATTTTGCGACATGTTCTTTAACAGGGTGCTCTATTCCGCATTTAGAATTTCGCAAGATTCAGATGGCATTCATTAGAATTTTTCAAATAGAACACCCTGTATTTTTTTTCACAAATTTATTCCAACATCTTTCGAAATCATAATCGGCTGCGGCGTTGTCAAGTTATGGATAATATGCTGAATTCCCTCCCGAAACCCGCGTAGTAAAGAAATATTGTTTGTATCATTATGTAGAGTTTGCCTGCTTCAAGTTTGATGGAGATTTGGTTTGTGGGAATAACGACAATAAAAGTGGTCCAAATTTCAAAAATTTTTCCTTATTCTGGCAATTCAAATCTCCATTGTTTGTATTGTAGAAGTTGTTTTAAAGGTAGGCGTTCTGCTTTTGTCATGTTTGTTTCACATAGGTACATATTATTTAAATCATAAGTGATTACGGAATATTTCAAATTTTGACAATGCTTATATCGCAAAGATACCTGAATGATCTATGTAGAACTTCGAATGTCATGTGGCAAGCAATATTCCCACAATCAAATCAAATAAAGGAACCATGTCTCATAAGTTGCCCTGAGATAGTGATGAACATAAGGAAATTACTCATAACTTGAAAATCTCGCAACCGATTTCAATTTTTCTTTCAGCGATGGAAAGGCGAATGATGTCGAAATAAATCTGTGATGAAAAATACAGGGTGTTCCATTTGAAAAATTCTAGTGAACGTCGTCTGAATCTTACAATATTCAGAGTGTAAATTTTAGCACCCTGTGAAGGATAATCTCGCAAAATTACTGGTTTGGTGTACGTGAGACCTTGCTACTACTGTATGCCAAAAATCTTCTCAAAATTTTAATAAATGAATATACCATAACCAATTCCACATGACCCTTCAATAGTAGTGAAAATGAATTTATCAATTATAACTTGGCAACGCCTCAACCGAATCCAATTTTTTTCACAGCGATGTTAAACCGTAGCGGAATGAATTTTGAATAAAAAATACTGGGTGTTCTATTTGAAAAAATTCGTCTCCGAGTCCTCCCGCTTTTATAAAACACCCAGTATTGTTGAAAATATTTTTGAAATGAAACCTTCAATAACGGAAGATATTTGTTTCCAAAATTTTTTCTCTAGTGATAATGGATTTCGAGATATCGAAGAATTACGCACTAAATGGACACACTGTAATCATGATTTTCTGAAAAAAGATATCCTCTTCTTACAGTTTGCTTCTAAGATATGTCTAAGCATTTCTGGGATACTATTTAATGCTTAGATAACTCTGTCCCTTAGTTTTCTCCGTTATCAAAATTAAACTAAGCAAAACTAATTTCGTCGCACCCCAAAATTTTGCCTCTGTTGAAATATGAATAACTTTTTTCTGCTTCGAACGATTTGAATTCGGATCACACTGTTCGCCAGCCCAGTCCTTCAGCTATAATCTAGTAATTCTTTAAAACAAAAGGTTCTTCACATCATATCGCTACAGGGTGTTGATTGAAACTGTGCCAAATTTCGGAAATTTCAAAAGTATCCCAAATGAAGAAAAACTTTTTTTTTCAACTTTGACAGTAGAGGCATGTAGATGATCTCATTATCTTGGGACAGTTCTCGAATTGTCTTCTTATCTCTTCCATTTACAGAGTGATCTCAAAAAATTAACTTTTTGGTTATGCAGTCATAACTTTTTTCCTCGTCAACTGATTTTTGAAATCTCAGGCTCATTTTTGAGATAAACTTCAGATGAAGAGATATGAAGATTAGAATTGACTCAAGATGAACATTATACAGTGTGTCTCACTTCTAATGGAAGCACCCCTGTATCTTTCGTAATTGTTGAGTTAGGATCCTGAAATTTGCAAGAGATACTGAATATACACACTATGACCAAGTGGAGTCTAAAATGACCTTACAGCTGATCCTCAATTGTTTAGAAGAATAATGCGATAAAAAAATTCTACTTATGATTCTTTGTTCCATCGATAACTTCAGCACAAGAATAATGTTATTGCTTCCAAATCGAAATATTCCGAAAACGGCACACAGTATCGAGTTTTACCAAGAGTACCTTTTTGGTGTGGAATTGAATGATGTTCAAGTTCACATCAAATTTGGATTGAAAAATCTAAACTCAAAATTACTCGGTACGAACCGTGTAACTAGCGCCCTCTATGAGAATCAGATATAGAAACAAATTCATGCGATGTGTCAGATTCCAAGAAACATCCATGCAAAATTTCATTACAATGTTGCCAGTAGTTTCGACATAATTTTAAAAAATAAAAAAAAAATTCAGCACCTTGTATGCCGTTACGAAATTTTTTTACTGAGCAAACCCAACTTATTTTGCAGTTTTCTACCTACCCTAGTAAGGAGGTCAGGTTATTTTGAAACACCCTGTACATGCTGTTATCGATAGGTTTTCTTCGAAATTTTCAAAGCAATGTAAAATACTTTGTTTTATAATCTAGTCACGGGGGTACCTGATATTTTGTTAATTACATTTAATCAAGAGTTTTGAATGATGAGTTACCTACTGTATGTTATCTAATGGTGAAATTGTTCATATAATACGCATATAAAATATGTTTTCATCGAGAATATTTATCTTGATTTGTTTATTTGAATGACTGATAATTGTTATTTTAGTAATTTTGAATATTCTAAGATATAAAAACAGTTGAAAAGGAATATTCTCAGATAAATTATGAACATACAAAAATGGATATATATTTATATAAAGATGTATAAAGCAATACATTGAGAATTCGCATTCTCTATGTGATGAGAATATTTACTCTTTTTCAGTTAATTCAATAGAAAACAACTACTTTCCTGGCTATATGCCACGACGAACATTGAATTATATCTATTGAACACACACGATAAGAGTTTGAAAATAAAATATAAAAATTTCTGAAATTGAGAATTTGCATTCTCCTTCAGACAAAAATATGTATATACACACATCATTCTGAATATTCAACAGAAAACAACTACTTTCCTGGCAATATAAAAACAGCTTTAATAAAAGTTGAAGCTAATGAACCACCATTTTGTTTTGATTAGGCAACCCCCAAATTATAATTCAATTTCCGCTACTGAGTACCCCCCCTAGAAAAAAAACATACCCACACGCCTGTGTCTATCTTGGTGGGAATCGAGGTGACTCTTTGGTTTCAAGCACTTCGGGAAACCGTAATAATATTTTCAATTTCACAGATCAAAGCACAACACAGGAATGAACTAGGGGCGGTGAGTCATTTATTTATAAACCTGTAACTTACCTGAATCAACTGACAAAGTACAGTTATACCGTCGATCAACTTGTAAATATCCTTGCAAGCCGATATCTCGGCTTGTATCAGCCTCAGTATTTTTTTGAAAAATTCCGTCTCGCTATCTTTCACCATACAATCGATACAGCCGGAATCGAATAATTTGTCCAAGAATCTGAACATCGGTATGGTGATCCGATCGACCTTCTGGTGGTCGGTAAACAGTTTCAATACGATATCGCAAATCCTTCGAATCTCTGAAGAACCTTTCGATTCGTCAACCGTTTTCAGGTATGCGAATAGAGAAGAGCTGGAGTTTTTCACCTGGAAGTGACAACCAATTTTACTGTTTCAATCTCAATCCAGAGAACGGATGAAAAAACAAGAATTTCCTGAATTAGTTGTGAGAACTGAGGCAAAACATGTAGGTCAGACTAGAAGAATCAATCTTGCTAGAGTCAAGGAACATCTTGCACAAAAAAGTATGTTAAATTAGATAAAATCAAGTACATGAAAACCTAGAGCAAAACATAATGTTCAACCACAATCATAGCACCCAAAAACGATCAAACAACCTGTTAAGTTGAAAATGTGATGCGATATTTCTGGTAAAAATTGTGAAAGCTACCTAATTTCTGGTTTGAGCAATAACAATTTCATATATATAATAACCTACCAGATTCTCAGTCATTCCTCCAATACTGCAAACGAGCCCCAACATCAAGTTATAACTGTATGAAGGCAATTGAACAAGCTGCACGAATTTAGGGAAGGTTGAAGATGCAGAATTCCAATTCAAAAGATCGCATTCTTCCTTGGGAAAAATTCGACATAGATCGTCTTGATGTGCGATGTTCTGAATACGGGGATCACTAAAAAAATGCATTGTCATTTGAATAGAGAAATTCAGTCAGGAAGGAAAAATATGCCATCCTCTTCTGTCCTAGTCTTCAAGGTACAAACGTAGAATACTCGAGATATTATGTCTGTAACTTAAAAAACTATAAGACTATTAATTTATCTGCCATATGAAGAAAATTAGAACTCAAAAATTGAGGCTAGACCATTCTTTTCTATTGTTTTGACTTACCAACATAAAATATTAGTTATTATACGTTAGTACGTTGGATGAATATGGTGAAAATTAGAATAATTTTTTGGAAAAAAATAGTAATTTACATATACAGGGTCAGTCAATAGTGTGTTCTCCTTCTATATTAGCCAAACCGTCAGATATATAGAAAACCGCCAGATATATAGAAAAATTCTTGGGAACTATCACCTAACATTATTTTCATATCTATAGGGTGTTCGAATTCCAAGATATCAGTTGATGATGGGTGTTTCCAAATGAGACACCCTGTATATTATTACATTTTTATATTCTCCCTTGAGAGCTGATTTCATCGATATATCGCACTTGGGGACTAGCTGAAATGTTTATAGAGATATAGGGTGTTCAAAATCAATATTTTTCAACTTTGTGATTTTTTTGTGTCAAAACTATTTATTATTGGTCGAAACGGCTTACATGTCCCGATCTCAACTTATGATTCACCATCAACTGACACTTAATTGGAACAAACACAGGGTGGTACAAAATTCAAGATTTCTGATCACCCTGTATCTTTTCCAATAAACTGACACAAAAAAATCCAAAATTTGAAAATTTTCGATTCTGAACATCATTTCCGCTAGACCCCAAGTGTGATGCATTGATGAAATAAGCTCTTCAGGAAAAATTTGAAACTGCGATAATATACAGGGTGTCTCATTTAAAAACACCGATATCTTGGAATTCGAACATCCTATAGATATTAAAATAATTTTAAGTGATAGCTCTCATAAAATACTATAACTGTTGTATTCGAATATTTTTTATATACCTGACGGTTTGGCTAATATCGGAGAACACACTATTGACTCACCCTGTATATACAAGATGGAGATAACATGGTTATAGCAATTCATTAAAAGTACTGTAAAGTCTTCAATATGATAGATACACCAACCAATTAATTGTATGAAATTCCAAATACATATTCTTTGGATCAAATATATAGAATAGAAAATCGAAAAACTTCATATAAAAAATCAAAAATCAAAGTCGAATATCATTTTTTCTAATTTTGACATGTAATTGACACTTTTCAAAACTGACAGACATTTTCAAACGTCTTATTTTACATAACCAGTTGCGTGAAGTAAAATATTACAAAACTGGTGATGAAAAATGTTCAGTTCAACATTACATTACGTAATAATTTATTGATACCGAATTCTGGAATTCATAATCATGAAACTAGACAATATAACTTGTTTCACATTGACACAGCTAGCTCCATACACGGACAAAAAAGATATACTCATGCAGCCTCAACCAAGTTCAATAAACTACCTGGCAATATCAAAAACTGCAAAAATATCGGTACATTCAAAAATAAAGTAAAACAGCTGATTATATCTGAATGAAATGGATAAAATTAGTCATGTTATTTTATGATGATTTTTCTACAAATATTGTACTTTATTCGCCAATTCATTCTTGTTTATGTATTTTTAATGATGAAATCGGTATATACTTCCTCCTACCAGATATTATTTTGTCTGGAAGTTATTTGTTTGATAAAAAATGTAATGAAGTAAATACAATAACGTAGGTATCAATGATAAATTTACATGTTATTGTCATGAAACGAAATATTTCAACATTTCTGTTGAAAGCATCCACTTTTTTTTTTAAATATGATATGTGAAGCAAAACATTTTCGTTTTTTGAGAATATTGTAAGAACTGAAGTTTTTTTTTCACAGGGGCAGATAATATCGCAATTAAGTATGTTAAAATCATAAGTTCATTCACTACTCACTGATAAATAATGCTGTAGAACACTCTACCAGCTAGTGCCCTAGTGCGATCGATTTTTTCCACAGCCTGCTGCGCTACTCCCGATAAGATTCTGTTCAACAGGTCTTCGTTCAACATCTCCGGTCGATTTTCGCTCAACAGGAACGTCAAAGTTTGCAGACCTATATCAATTATCGTTTCCTCATCAGCAAAAATACAAGAGCGAGCTAGTAAATTTTTGACAAAAACTGACATGGAATGGTGCATCAAAACTGTGATTTTTGAAGTGATAACGTCTATAGGCACGTTGGACGCATTTCTGGGATGGGAATGAAGCGGAGTCACGTCATGGAAGCGTGCGTACCATAAGACTGACATATGTATAATATGTTGAATCAGGAGTCCAAAGGAGTATGGAAATCAAAGAAGTATGGAATCCAAAAAAGGACGGAACCCAGAGAGGAATGTAAATCAAAGATGGACGGAATTCAAAGAGGAAAGGAAGGCAAAGAAGGAAGGAATCCAAAGAAGGAAGAGATCCAAAGAAGGATGGAAGAAGAAGAAGATATGGGTGAATATCGTCCAAAAGATATTGAAAATAGGGACCTTACTGAAGTTATTTATTTCGACGTGTGGTTTTACGTACCTGTTCACCAGTTTTTTTTGTTGTTGAAAATTTCCTATGATGTTCACAAATGGGTTGGTGAAACGATCTTCTTGAAAAACCTGATTTTTTCAGTTTTTTTTTGCTCATAGCTCCAAGATAACGCGTCTTGGTCCAAAACGTATCATCACATCATACATCATGCAACATCATTCTTATATTTCCATCAATTTGGATTAGTTTATTATTTTTGGAAACTAACTATGAAGGTTATTTTGAAGAATCGAGGAAAAAAGTGAGGTTTCTCTTTAGTATTTTGAACTAATTTTGATGCTGAATGATTGGTTTGAACTTTCACCATTCTTTGAATTAATGAGCTTAAAGAAAAAAAACTATTCACCATTTTATATTGATTGTTTTATTACAAAACACTCATCACAACTTTTTTTTCATTACTGAAAATAATCACCACTCAAAAACGCTATCTTTCAATGACGTGATATACACCGATATTATATTGACATATTTCTCAGCAGCCAATGAATATATCCACAAAATCACTTCCACAGTAGAAGTGTTCTTAGATACATACAATACATAAGCACAGCAGTTAGTCTTTCCACTTAAATTTTGTAACCATATCGAATCGACTCGTTGCTGCTTAAAAAACGTCAATGCCATTCGTGGTCAAGTCACAGAATAGCAAAAATTCTGAAAGGTATCTCCCATACAGTAATGAATTTGTGCGTTCGAAGTGCCCACCTAATGATAGATTAGATATTTGATATTTTTATGTCACCATCTAAATAATCAGAGACTTACGAATCCCAAGAGATTGTTTCTAATAATCGATATCCAAGGTATCGACGTATAGTTTTCATTTCAAGAAAAAAACCCTGAAAAATTGAAAAAAAAACAGGTTTTTGGGTGTTCTAATCGGAAAATTAAAGGAAAAACAACCCACATACATGATATTGAAAGATCATCAACTTCGGAACAACGTTAAGGTACGAGGTGACTGTACTAATCGGCATGCCAACTGGTGACACAAAAAAAATCAGCATCCTTGTTGAACTACTTTTTCTGAGGGAGCTTCCTCAGACCTGGAAACTTCGCAATGCAATACAAATCTTACCTAGCACGCAGGCTTCTCTGGTCCATGCCCCAATGTCCCCTCTTTTATCTTGAGTGTAGTCTTTCAGACCTTCCAACAGGATACCGTAGATTTTGTCTACATGGTCTTCACTAAATTCTGCAGAAAATATTACATAAGCAGGCATTTTTATCAAGAGGTTATGTGGTTGAAATTATTAACTTAACTTTTCTAACCTCAAATATTGACCTACGCCAATATTCTTTTGCATTTGCTTCACGATTCATGCACAATTCAGCCAAGAAAGATTATCAAGCGAAGTTTTGTGAGATTGACTATTTTCAATACGACAGATGGAAATATTCATTCTTAAATTGTGTAGTTTCTTCACAGCTATTAGATTCACTTTAGGGATATGAAAATAATGGGAAACTCGTTCTTACATGTTTTGATATTAAAAATAGTAGAAATGAACTCAAAATTTCATGTGATTAAAAAAAAAAAGAAACTGAAACACCTGATAGATAACTATGATAATTAGATTATTATGTTGAATAAACGTTTGTCTTCTACCATATCAATTTGAATCCAAAATGATATTTTTTCCAAATCACTTCATGAACAACCAATCAGGTACACTACTTATGAATTCTTACCCTTCCCCAAATTTTCGGCCATCGTCCTAGACACCGAAGACAAAGCTTTGACTGAATCCCTTCTGCTTTCCGCCCATTTCGCAGTATTGGGGGTGATTTTGCTGGCCTCCATCAGTGCAGACACCACCTACCGTTTTGATGTCATTTGATTGTGTTTCAATGGGGAAAATTCCTTCTGATGAATTTTCATTAAATCAGTTTTGCATTGGTTAGGTTCATGTTTTCATATGTAAGAACGTTTGAAATGATTCAAATCATTTCCATTTTAGAACTAGAGTAATTTGGAATGTTTCATGGGTAAAACGATGATGTGTGAATATACAGAGAGACCCAATTGGAAGCAAGCCTGTTCTAATTTGTAATCCAATCGCAAATAAATGAGTATCGTTAGATTCGTCAAAATATCCTTTTTTCGGAAAGTGCTTGTCAAAAAATGGTCGCCATTTGAAAAATAATAGTTAGACACGAAAATGTAATTTTGCCAACTTGTCTTATTCATATCTATCATACTTGTCACTAAAACTTCGCGATTGTAATTTTCTAATATCATCTCTGGTCCTTAGATTAGTTTACTTCCGATCATGGCCACCTAGATGTAATTTCAAAAGTGACTCCGAAAATAGTAGATTGTTTTATTAAGATCAAAAGTGACACTTTGTTTGACAAGCGAATTTTGCATTTGCGAGGCGGAGCGTTTAGCGAAGCCGAGCGAAAGCAAAATTTGCGAGTCGAACAAAGTCACTTTTGATCCGAATGAAACATGCTATTTTTTCTGCAACCGAAACAATTAACTCAAATAAACATGTGAAGTAACCAACAATGCCGTGCCATATATGTATGCAATGCAACAAATATTGACAAATAATCCATGTTGCGAGAATATTCTACCTGCATTAACAGCAGGTTAGGTTTTCTAGGATGTTCGAATTGTAGTTCCAATATAAATACAACCACAGAGTAACATATTTGTGTATGAACCAGGTGCTCTAATGGCAAATACCGCGCCAGTGCCAGCTATAGGAACAAGACGTGGAAAATTTTAGGTTAGTGAGCATATCAACAATGATAATAGTGATTATTTATTCCTCTCCCTACTACACTGTGTTTGACTTGATGATCAAATGAAGCTAAACAATATCGTTGTTTGAGACAAAAAACTATTGCTTGCCGTGATTATTCAAAAACAAGTTATCCATCCCGAGAATAACGAATGAAATACAGATCAAGCAAGTATTTGAATCTTGAAGGCTTCCCTGATCAAAACAAAAATACTTAACTGAGATGTTTATAATTCCAATACTAAACTATAATAAGGTGTATTTATATCTCCAGCATGGGTATGAAATGCCAAATCTGCTGAAATTGGAAACAAATCGGGTATGCGTCTCAACCCAAATAACCTAAACCGTCACAATGTTGTTCATCCTTGATGACGTCCAGTAGATCCTTTTTAGTTCCTAGGAGCTAAAGTTCAACTTTAGCTCCTAGGAACATACTAGCAACATACCTATTTTTGTGTCAGTAATAGAAACGTCAATTCAAGAGCTGATTTTGGTATCAAAATGGACGACTTTTGTGTCGGTTGCAGAAAAAATTAAGTAGGCATAAAAACTTCCGAAAATGTCACATTCTGATCTAGAATTGTCTCAGAAATCCAAAAATGTTACAATATACAGGGTGTTCCATTTAAAAATTTTGAACCGGGGTTATTCCCGGTGAAACCAGTAGTGACCGGGCAGTGAAAAATATGTGAAAACTCTCCTCTTCATATACCATTTACCTATACCAAATCTCATTTTGATACACTTGATGGTCTACAAGTTATGACTTGTCTAATAGATTCGTTGACACCCAGTATGCCTATGTCCTTCCTGATACATCTAAGAATATGTCTACAAAGTTTCATGACAATCAGTTGAGTAGTTTTGGCGTGAAAGACTGACAAACAAACTCCAAATCACATTAATAATATTCGTAGGGATGATACAACAAAAGGACTGAACTTACTTCATCGAAATTCCCCAGCAGAACGAATTTCGGTAGGCACCCCAACGCCAGCCCGAACCCCATTCGGGTGTGCTCGTTGCTGTGCGACAGCAGCTCCTCGTTGAACGTTTTCACGATGGCGTCGCACCTGTCAGGTTTCGCCACATAGTATTCGCTTAGTAAGGTTGGCAGCGCTTTGACAGCCGCCGCTCGGATGACAGCGACCTCGTAGGAGAAACACTCGGTGAGCAACTGAAGCCAGTCCTCTTTGAAAATTAAAAAATGGAGCAAAAAATTTAGTCGATGCCATCGAAATATAGGTGTGAATTGAAGAGTGCATTATGACTTGATCTAAGAGAAGTTCAGGTCTATGGAATGGGGAAGTTTCCTATATTGAAGTTTTTATCTCACTGTGAAGTTTGTAAAAAATTAATATACCGGGTGTAACAGCATCATGGTACACCCCCTTTTTCTCCTTTAGTTTCAGAGATAAGTGATTGAAAATCGGAATGACCCATCGACTTGATAAACGTCACATTTTGACATGAATATGTTTCAATTTCCACTTCCGGTTTCACCGGAAGAGGTAATAACTTTTGATTTTCAAATGGAAACCCCTGTATATCAATGCATTTTCGAATTCTGCATCATTTTCTGAAGCCAATGATACCACGTAAATAACATTTCAAACTTCATTATTGATTCTGATATCATTTTTGATTTTCCATCTGAGTGTGCCTTGACTATTCTGATTGAGTCTGCTGTACTCATATCGACATGTTTAATGCTAAAAAAAAGTTGAATCCTGTCAAAAATGTAAAATTTCTTGATTTATCACCAAATTGAGTTCGTCAAAATGGTTTGGTGTACCATCATCCTGTTACACCCGGTATACGTATTTTTACTTTTTCTCATAAGATCAAATTTCACTTCAGAAAAAAATAAATAAAAGAGGAACTTGGCTCCTCCACCATTTCTATGACTTTTACTTTCTGAAAATCCACATTCACACAGAGTTAAAATACGATTCCCTGTGCCAGTAAGACGTTGCCGACATCATCAATATGTCTAGATTTCCGGAAATTGTTCTTTGAATGCATAATAACTATATCATAACAGCAATGGAATATAATAGGTTCTTCAATCCTATTATGAATAATTTCCATAAATCTCTCATTGGCTGAATGAAGTTGATTACTTACTAATAATGATAAATTATGATATTTTTCGATAGTATCTATAATTTATCACTATCGTTATATTCAAATATGTTATTTATAACTTGACAGTAATTTTTCTAATGAATTCGTTCCTTAATAAAACGGATCTATTTTCTAGGAAAGTTGCAGATTATATCTTGCAACAGCGCCTGATACTTCGAGTCCCTCCACACCACTCAAAATACTTACAGGCACAACAAGAGGAAGAAGCAATGGGTGTTGGCTTCATTCTGTTCTGACCGATGGCAGTAAATTAGGAAGGATATTATTATGGAATGTAGCCGATAGTGATTCATTGATTCAATAATATTTTCGTTCAGAATCGAGCTCTATTAGAGATATTTCAATGCATAAATAACAGAACCAAAACCTGTCGGAATGAAGCCAACTACCCTCTGCATTCCTGCTCCGAGTACATTTGTGGTTAGCTATTCGCTAGCTATATTCTTCACCATCAGCTAGTTTCAGACTAAATTCAGAATGTATGTCACAGTATGCCCCGAAAATTAGAAATTGCTTTAATTTGAAAATGAACCGACTTGGACTTTATCGGTCGCCATTCTGTACAGCGTGGACATAAAACTGAAGAGTTCCAAACTTATTTTACACAAAAATTCCCCATTGTAGAACAAGTCTACATGAATGAATGAACGAATTTATTATGATCCTAAAACATGAAAATGTCATCTAGGAACACCTCTGTTTCTAGTTACAAGTTATTATAGTTTTACAAATTACATAATATCCGACATAATAACCAGATTATTGATTCAAACCTGTACCAATTTAGTGAATAAACCCTAGTTTTTACAATGGTGATATATGGGTAACGTTTTTCACTGAACTATAATATATGCTATATACAAGAATCTAATTGTTTTCCTTTCAAATCCAACCTCCTGATAACTGTACAAATCATAACTTCAGTGGCATGTGAGACTTCAACAGTTTTTCATCTTTTGGCCCTTCTCTTTTTATATTTAATGTTATCTTGTTGTACTCTGGAACGCCTTTATAGAATATTGAACCGATTCCATAGTTCGTCGATCATTACTCTTGGGACTTGTACATTTCTACAGTTTCGAGTATTATATGCATTGACTTGAAAAGTATATAAACTTCCCAGTGATCCACAAAAACTAGGGTAAGTTCAGGTTCAAGAGTTGCTCGAAAGGTTCAGGTCAAAGCCTGAGAGAATAGACAAAAAAAGAAGCTCAGGAGATCTAAGTCAGTGTTTGATAATGGATCAAGATAGAAATCAGAATAGGAGTAATAAAAATTCAAATAGAAGTTTAGGGAGATACTTACATGAGATTAAAAATGCATTTATTTGAGATCCTCAAGATCAAAATTTTGATCTAGATTCAAGAGATAAAAGACAATGTCTATGAAATAATAAAAACAGTCACACGTTTAGGTGTAAAAGAAGTCCAAGTAGAAGTTCCTAGGAGTGTCAAGCCAAAAAATAAAATTATTTCGAGGTAAAAATTGATCTGAAATATAATGAAAGCAAAACATAGTATGAGTTAATTTCTTATTGTTAACTGATATTTGAGATATCTTACCAATAACATCATCTTTATGGAAAGGCAAGGCGGCTAAGGAACACTTCTCGATGAAATCAGAACAAGCCTGCTTCATCAGCTCTCCCCCTAAGCCTCTAAAGTAAAGCCTCTCTCGAAAAATCGGTACCAAATTTTTCGTTTTCGTCAACAGGTCCTCCGTCAATAGAGTGTCAATTGTCTGATTGCGTTCCTTTGCTATTTTAGACAGGGCATAGAGGATCTCTCCGATTGCCAATACTGAGCCATGTCGGCTATTCAGATCTATGGAAATCGATTTTTCGAATAGAGAAGGCAATACGGTGTCCACCAAGTAGGAAGGAAGCTAAAAAAACAAAAAAAAAAAACAATGGAAACTGAACGCTTTATGCGTTTGGCAACACTCTTTTGCTACTACGAGAAAACATGTTTAACTTTCGTGCAAGAACTGTTGAAACACAACCTCACTTTTCTGGTTTGTTTACAAGTGATTGAAATAGTTTTTCACAATTATTTTGGCATACGAATCGTGTTTTCGGCTATGCCTTAATTCGCTCATGCCATCACATTGTGCTGTTGTACAATGCATAAAAACTGCAGCGGGAGACGAGGGACTCCGGTTGATACAATATGATTTAAAAGTAAGTACCTACTATAGTCACTCACATATAGTTTTCATTTTTTAAGTTTGGTAATTTCTCTGATTTCCCATCAGAATTCGTTCTGCAATAGGAGCTAATAGAAATACTCGTGAAATTTCTAAAAGAATGCACGAAGATTGGATTCATGCAATCAAACGTGAGGACTGGTCTGACATGCTGACGAAATATGATCGTGTGTGTTGTAGACATGTTCAATCTATTAGCAGTATTAGCTTCTATTGCAGAAGTGGCAGAAGGAATTTTAATAATAAATGACAACATTTCATAATGAAAACTATGAGAGATTACTATTTACCTGAAAAATCATATTCCTTCGTCTCTCGCTGCATGTTTTGTGCTTTGTTCAACAGCACAATGAGAAAGCATGCTTGAAGTGTGTATTTAGATACATGCTTGAATTAATGAATAGCGCAAAAAACACGATTCTCATGCCAAAACATTGTGAAGAACTATTACAACCCTTTGATTCCTCTGTAAACAAATAAAAAAGTGAGGTTGTGCTTCGATATTTTACTTTCAGGGTCCGTCATCGTGCACGCGAACTATAGAATATCTAGGCATGTCAAAAATTGGAAGGAGTTTCATGAAATCATAATTATTAATTCATAACAACATAAGTGTCAGTAACAAAGGTCCTAAGGTTACAACATGCGATAAAGAAAAGGACTTATTTTAGATAAACGTGACATTACGGCGAACAATAATAGTAGACCTGTGTAGTGACGAGCACCTTTCATAGTATGAAATGTCACATGTCTTTCGTGGGCTTGATTTTCCTTGTTTTATTTTCATTTTTAGAGAATTACAAGTTTCTTTACAGGTTCCTCTTTCTCAAACTTTCTACTATCTTTCAACAGGAACAAACTGTCAACTTTAAATGTTTGTAATCACACACTTCTAATCGTCCGATTGATTTGAAATTCTGGTGCCGCATCATACAATGTTTGTTAGAGATTCGATTCAAGCTTGGTATCTTCAGTTTGGTGGGGTCAAACAATTATGATTCTTCTGTCAAAATTGGAAAATTCAAGATGGCGGACGAGTTACGTAAATTTACTGGGTCGGAAATTGTGAGTATTCCGTCAAAATTGAGAAAATCAGGATGGCTGCTTCAGCATGGCGAATGAATTTTGTGATTATGGCCCGATTATATTCAGAATTGGTGTGTGGGGGCTTTTGTTGTCGGATATGTTTACAATTAAAAATTTTCATTCAGTTTTACCTGTACTGGTGTCTGTCTGTAAGGGTCTGTAGAGCAATGTTTTTTTAAAGCTTGATTCAATTTAGTTTCCCGAGAGTATGATTGTTCTGAAACATGACACCTCAAAGAAATAATAATATTACATAACCTAACTTGTTGCCTCAACCGGTTGCTGAAACTCTTGGCATTTGCCCAAATCATTCTTACTTACCGTCGGTGTCAAATTGTGAAATGCTTTGGCTGTCAATTCTCTGATGCTGGTATCCCAGTGATCGACCTTCCTCTTGAGCAAATGGTCGATCAAGGGCCTTCTGTATTGCTCGAACTGCGCTATGAACGTGCTGATAGTCAGGTAAGCGCTATTCCTGACGCTGACGGAGAAAAAATCGGCGACAGTGAGGATTTCGATGCCGTGAGGAAAGTTACCCTGTCGGCCGACGTTTTCTTGGAAAGCTGCCGAGGCTGCTCGTCTGCAATTTATCTGGAAATTTTCGCGTCTAAAGGAACTGATCACCTTCGATTATTCCACTCATTGCAAAATATACGTTTTTGATTGGTTGAGATATCTGTTTTGATAATCAAAAACATTATGTTTTTGTGATTGACTGCTAGATTCGCTAGATACCTTAATATGCTGTTTTCGATTTTTTATTTCGCTTCCTCATTGGTAGATTGATCAAAATATAAAAAAAAGAGTTTACAAAGTAAACTGAGAGGTTCATGCTGATTCTACACTTCACTAGGTGTTTGAATTATCTTCTAGAAAACAAGGAATTATTCCATTTTCAAAGAGAAATGAGTGGAAAGTCTATGTTCCTAAAGCATGAAGCTACGATTCAGAAAAAAATCATCTGAATCGGACTCCGGAAAAATATGAGTTGAAACTTGTTTAGTACAATGGGCTTATATCACAAAAAAATTCATTTCATAATTCGATAGAGCTCACCCAAACTAGCTCACCACCGCAAACCGTTTCTTGCTGTGAGCTCCCTACGTTTTATAAAAAATTATTGAAATCCCCCATTTTTTGGAGTTCTGAAAACGAGGCGATGATGTGACGTCAAAACCCTGATACTGAAACAAGACTATTCCAGACAGAGATGAATGATACATGATTTCTGACAGAGTGAATTAGCGCGAGATCACAGATGAAAGAATTAATATATCAGTTGCCTCAGTCTCAGTCGGGCGTTTGGTATTTTCTTTTAACTATGGCGAGATGAGATTTCTACGTCATAAGAGGGTCCGTTTTCAGAAGGTACTATTATTTATGTCCAAAAATAAAACATTCCAGTTAATTTTTCGATCGAATTATGTCGTCAATCATTATTTATGTATAAAAGGATCATTATCAACATGGTTTGACTTAAAAGTTCTACTAAGCTGTACACGCCCATTCTGTTACTTTTGGTAGTGTTGATTTTGTAGCCTAGTATAAAATATCGAGAAAAATACGTGCTGCTTGAAATTACTCAAGTTTCAAATATGAAGAAGAATGATTGATACACAATGTATAGGGAGATATTGGAAGTGGTACAGTGACATGATATAATAATAAAAGTAGCTTTTCAATGAAATATTAATAATTTTTATACAGATCTTGAAACCAAAAAAATAATTAATACCTGAAACGAAATTCATTATCTGCAATTGATTTGAGCCAGTTTCATGCAAATTATATATACAGGGTGCCCAGGAAAATGAGGTTCATCTGTCAATTGTTTGATGGACAAAGCGTCAGATTATTATATGGAGAATATTGAATTAAATTTGTTATAGTGCTTCAACGTAGTCACATCTTTAAAAAAAAGCGAACTGAAAAATAATTTTCAAAAAATTAAAATGGGGGAGAGTCAAGTACCCACTGTAATACAAAACCTGAAAATAAAAACACACCCAGTTTTTTGTCATGATCACTGATATTACCTCTTTGTCAAAACAAGTGACAACCAGCAAACTGCTGGATATCTCTTGGACGTGAGGGGCCAAAACTTCGCTGTCATACGCCCTGGAAAACGCCCAACAAACAAAGCAAGCGGCGTCCCTGATGTGAGAACCCACTGAGGCGTACCCTTTGGGTTCGTCGTAGACCAGTGCTTTCATCACCACTGGTACCACTTGCGGTAAACGGTCCGGCAGCAGTAAGCCTCTTCTGCCTAAATAAGAAGTCATTCGAATACGGGAGCTGACGAATTTTTTTTGGGTATTCCACAAGGACGTGTTTTGGGGGCACTGCTGATCTTCGTTTATAAAATGATTTGAATTATCTTGTCGACTATATATTCGCAGGATTTTAGTTTTTGTCTTTGGTAGCAAGGTGTGGAATCAGAGATATCAATTGAAGACAGAGCATGTTTTCTAATTATTGCGAAAAACTCGCAAAAACCTCTATTTCTACTGAAACTGTTGGAATGTACATATTTTTTTGGCAGTTTTTACTTTAGATGTAAATTGTTTAGTGCGTTTTTTTCTAGTGATAGTGGTAAATTTTTTACAGTAGTAACAGAGAGGCTATGATTTTTAATCAATCTTTTCTAACCTGAATGAATTTTGCTGCGGCAAAAATCGCAAAAATGACTGAAAATTGCAAAAATCGCAAAAATTCCTGAAAATTGCAAAACTCGCAAAAACTCCTGAAAATCGCAAAAATGACTGAAAATTGCAAAAATCGCAAAAATGACTGAAAATTGCAAAAATCGCAAAAATTACTGAAAATTGCAAAAGTTCCTGAAAATTGCGAAAATCGCAAAAATGACTGAAAATTGCAAAAATCGCAAAAAATACTGAAAATTGCAAAAATCGCAAAAATGACTGAAAATTGCAAAAATCGCAAAAATGACTGGAAATTGCAAAAATCGCAAAAATTCCTGAAAATTGCAAAAATCGCAAAAATTCCTGAAAATTGCAAAAATCGCATAAATGACTGAAAATTGCAAAAATCGCAAAAATTCCTGAAAATTGCAAAAATCGCAAAAATGACTGAAAATTGCAAAAATCGCAAAAATGACTGAAAATTGCAAAAATCGCAAAAATGACTGAAAATTGCAAAAGTTCCCCGAAATTGCAAAAATCGCAAAAATGACTGAACATTGCAAAAATCGCAAAAATTCCTGAAAATTGCAAAAATCGCAAAAATGACTGAAAATTGCAAAAATCGCAAAAATGACTGAAAATTGCAAAAATCGCAAAAATTCCTGAAAATTGCAAAACTCGCAAAAACTCCTGAAAGTAGCAAAAATTCCTGAAAACTGCAAAAATCGCAAAAATGACTGAAAATTGCAAAAATCGCAAAAATTCCTGAAAATTGCAAAAGTTCCTGAAAATTGCAAAAATCGCAAAAATGACTGAAAATTGCAAAAATCGCAAAAATGACTAAAAATTGCAAAAATCGCAAAAATGCCTGAAAATTGTAAAAATGCCTGAAAATCGCAAAAATCGCAAAAATTCCTGAAAATTGCAAAAATCGCAAAAATGACTGAAAATTGCAAAAATCGCAAAAATTTCTGAAAATTGCAAAAATCGCAAAAATTCCTGAAAATTGCAAAAATCGCAAAAATGACTAAAAATTGCAAAAATCGCAAAAAATTCCTGAAAATTGCAAAAAAAAAAAAAATTCCTGAAAATTGCAAAAATCGCAAAAATGACTGAAAATTGCAAAAATCGCAAAAATTCCTGAAAATTGCAAAAATGCCTGAAAATTGCAAAAATCGCAAAAATTCCTGAAAATAGCAAAAATTCCTGAAAATTGCGAAAATTGCAAAAATGACTGAAAATTGCAATAATCGCAAAAATTCCTGAAAATTGCAAAAATCGCAAAAATGCCTGAAAATTGCAAAAATTGTAAAAATGCCTGAAAATCGCAAAAATCGCAAAAATTCCTGAAAATTGCAAAAATCGCAAAAATGATTGAAAATTGCAAAAATCGCAAAAATGACTGAAAATTGCAAAAATCGCAAAAATGACTGAAAATTGCAAAAATCGCAAAAATTCCTGAAAATTGCAAAAATCGCAAAATGCCCGAAAATTGCAAAAATTGTAAAAATGCCAGAAAATCGCAAAAATCGCAAAAATTCCTGAAAATTGCAAAAGTCGCAAAAATGATGGAAAATTGCAAAAATCGCAAAAATGACTGAAAATTGCAAAAATCGCAAAAATGACTGAAAATTGCGAAAATCGCAAAAATTACTGAAAATTGCAAAAAATTGCAAAAATTCCTGAAAAAAATCGCAAAAATGACTGAAAATTGCAAAAATCGCAAAAATTCCTGAAAATTGCAAAAATCGCAAAAATTCCTGAAAATTGCAAAAATCGCAAAAATTCCTGAAAATTGCAAAATCGCAAAAATTCCTGAAAATTGCAAAAATCGCAAAAATTCCTGAAAATTGCAAAAATCGCAAAAATTCCTGAAAATTGCAAAAATCGCAAAAATGGACTGAAAATTGCAAAAATCGCAAAAATGACTGAAAATTGCAAAAATCGCAAAGAAGACTGAAAATTGCAAAAATCGCAAAAATGACTGAAAATTGCAAAAATCGCAACAATGACAAAATTCCTGAAAATTGCAAGAATCGCAAAAATTCCTGAAAATTGCAAGAATCGCAAAAATGACTGAAAATTGCAAAAATCGCAAAAATTCCTGAAAATTGCAAAAATCGCAAAAATTCCTGAAAATTGCAAAAATCGCAAAAATTCCTGATAATACCAAAAATTCCTGAAAATTGCAAAAATCGCAAAAATTCCTGAAAATTGCAAAAATCGCAAAAATTCCTGAAAATTGCAAAAATCGCAAAAATGACTGAAAATTGCAAAAATCGCAAAAATGACTGAAAATTGCAAAAATCGCAAAAATGACTGAAAATTGCAAAAATCGCAAAAATTCCTGAAAATTGCAAAACTCGCAAAAACTCCTGAAAATAGCAAAAATTCCTGAAAATTGCAAAAATCGCAAAAATGACTGAAAATTGCAAAAATCGCAAACATTCCTGAAAATTGCAAAAGTTCCTGAAAATTGCAAAAATCGCAAAAATGACTGAAAATTGCAAAAATCGCAAAAATGACTGAAAATTGCAATAATCGCAAAAATTCCTGAAAATTGCAAAAATCGCAAAAATGCCTGAAAATTGCAAAAATTGTAAAAATGCCTGAAAATCGCAAAAATCGCAAAAATTCCTGAAAATTGCAAAAATCGCAAAAATGACTGAAAATTGCAAAAATCGCAAAAATTCCTGAAAATTGCAAAAATCGCAAAAATTCCTGAAAATTGCAAAAATCGCAAAAATGACTGAAAATTGCAAAAATGACTGAAAATTGCAAAAATCGCAAAAATTCCTGAAAATTGCAAAACTCGCAAAAACTCCTGAAAATAGCAAAAATTCCTGAAAAATGCAAAAATCGCAAAATTGACTGAAAATTGCAAAAATCGCAAAAATTCCTGAAAATTGCAAAAATCGCAAAAATGACTGAAAATTGCAAAAATCGCAAAAATTCCTGAAAATTGCAAAAATGCCTGAAATCGCAAAAATTCCTGAAAATTGCAAAAATCGCAAAAATTCCTGAAAATTGCAAAAATCGCAAAAATGACTGAAAATTGCAAAAATCGCAAAATGACTGAAAATTGCAAAAATCGCAAAAATGACTGAAAATTGCAAAAATCACAAAAATTCCTGAAAATTGCAAAACTCGCGAAAACTCCTGAAAATAGCGAAAATTCCTGAAAAATGCAAAAATCGCAAAAATGACTGAAAATTGCAAAAATCGCAAAAATGACTGAAAATTGCAAAAATCGCAAAAATTCCTGAAAATATCAAAAATTACCAAAATTCCTGAAAATTGCAAAAATCGCAAAAATTACTGAAAATTGCAAAAATCGCAAGAATGCCTGAAAATTGCAAAAATCGCAAAAATGCCTGAAAATTGCAAAAATCGCCAAAATGACTGAAAATTGCAAAAATCGCAAAAATGACTGAAAATTGCAAAAATCGCAAAAATGACTGAAAATTGCAAAAATCGCAAAAATGACTGAAAATTGCAAAAATCGCAAAATGACTGAAAATTGCAAAAATCGCAAAGGACTGAAAATTGCAAAAATCGCAAAAATTCCTGAAAATTGCAAAAATCGCAAAAATTCCTGAAAATTGCAAAAATCGCAAAAATTCCTGATAATACCAAAAATTCCTGAAAATTGCAAAAATCGCAAAAATGACTGAAAATTGCAAAAATCGCAAAAATTCCTGAAAATTGAAAAAATCGCAAAAATGACTGAAAATTGCAAAAATCGCAAAAATGACTGAAAATTGCAAAAATCGCAAAAATGACTGAAAATTGCAAAAATCGCAAAAATTCCTGAAAATTGCAAAAATCGCAAAAATGACTGAAAATTGCAGAAATCGCAAAAATTCCTGAAAATTGCAAAAATCGCAAAAATGCCCGAAAATTGCAAAAATTATAAAAATGCCTGAAGATCGCAAAAATCGCAAAAATTCCTGAAAATTGCAAGAATCGCAAAAATGATGGAAAATTGCAAAAATCGCAAGAATGACTGAAAATTGCAAAAATCGCAAAAATTCCTGAAAATTGCAAAAATCGCAAAAATTCCTGAAAATTGCAAAAATCGCAAAAATGACTGAAAATTGCAAAAATCGCAAAAATGACTGAAAATTGCAAAAATCGCAAAAATTCCTGAAAATTGCAAAAATCGCAAAAATGACTGAAAATTGCAAAAATCGCAAAAATTCCTGAAAATTGCAAAAATCGCAAAAATTCCTGAAAATTGCAAAAATCGCAAAAATGACTGAAAATTGCAAAAATCGCAAAAATGACTGAAAATTGCAAAAATCGCAAAAATGACTGAAAATTGCAAAAATCGCAAAAATTCCTGAAAATTGCAAAACTCGCAAAAACTCCTGAAAATAGCAAAAATTCCTGAAAATTGCAAAAATCGCAAAAATGACTGAAAATTGCAAAAATCGCAAAAATTCCTGAAAATTGCAAAAGTTCCTGAAAATTGCAAAAATCGCAAAAATGACTGAAAATTGCAAAAATCGCAAAAATGACTGAAAATTGCAATAATCGCAAAAATTCCTGAAAATTGCAAAAATCGCAAAAATGCCTGAAAATTGCAAAAATTGTAAAAATGCCTTCGCAAAAATCGCAAAAA